GATGGTTAGTTGAAGCAACAGTAACCAGCGGCGAAGAAGTGAGATCTGAAGATACTTCATCAGGCTGAGTAAAAAGACGCCGCCAAGGGGGGGACATCTGTTATACAGAAGAAACAATCATCCTTTAATTCATCCAGTGATTATACGTATATAAACATAAGATACATGGGGCACAGTGAATTTGCCACAGGCAATTCGAGCGCAACAACGTAGAATAAATAGCGATACAACGGGTCATGATCCTACATAAGTCCTGCAAGGATGTTGAATACTGATCATTACCCTTCCAAGTAGTTAAAGATGAGAATATTTGTTTAAAAGATAGCTTTAGAAGAGTCAAAAATGATTAAACAACAATAGCAAACACAAAGATTGTCGCATGTGTACAAAGCCTACAAAAAAGACTTCGGAATATCAAATACAACCCAAAATACTAATAGATCATCGATTGACATCTAACAATCGAAAGGATAATTAATATCAGATCCATGTTAAAAATTTCATTAAGAAATCATATGAGCTTACAAGAAAGCCAGTGGAAGCTCCGGAACTCCACTCAGGATAGAGACTGCAAAAACCAGGGTTAGAAACCAAATCCTTTCCGTTGACTTCCTCACAATCTACAGAAATATCAAGCCCACAGGAAGTGTTCTAAAAAGTCAGAAAAAAAATGAGACAGGCGTAAGCAAAAGGCAAATGCAAGTAGGAAAAATATTACTCCTTTGCCCGTAGAACTGCAGTTGTCGATTCCATCCTCGACAACATCGGATCGTGTGTCGTTAGGTAGCAAGCCAAGATGTTGCACCCACTGGCCATTATTGGTATCACTATGCTCCTTGGATCTATGCGAATCAGGATTGGTACCAGAGTCCAAGTCACTAGTGCAATCACTACCACAACCATGCGCGCATCCACCTGATTGCGATGAAACAGTTGGAGAGCTCCAGATAGATAAAAAGTCAAGATGGTGAGGAGTCGTTGGATATCCAGGGACTGACACCAACTTGTTATCTTGAATAGACGAACGAGCAGATGACTGATTAACAACGGCGACAGGACTTTGAAAGGAGCCTATACGGCCCAGTAACACACTAGTGGCAGAAATATTATCGGATGGAAGTCGATCATGAGAATCGGAGACTCCTGATAAATGTGAGACTCCACAGAGTTCATGACCAGCTGCCATTGTTCGAACAGATAGTGGCTGTAAAGTAATAATAGATCAAGATGTTGTATGCGAATAACGTAAACGGATAAATATTCAACCACTGATGAAGTTCACTTTTATAGAATAATACTTACATTGTCATCTGATTGTCTCGAACATGTCTCATTATTCTGACCTACCGCCCAAATCTGATTAGCATGCGATTGGTCAATAAATGAAAGTCCTCTAAACTTTAGTGTGAGTGCGGACCCATCGTCGACTGCGTCAGGACCATTGGGAATAATTGTATCCGACCGAGGATTACATCTAGGAGTGCTGCCTTCTAGCCTGGCTATTTCAGAACTATGGATTCGATTATGTGCAGCTATAGCTGAAACGTGGGGCCTCAAAATATCTTTTGTTTGATTATCTTGCTCCTGCTCGTTTACTTCATCTTCGTCATAGTCCGGAAGTAGGTTGAAACCGTCTGGGAGTTGGGGGGCGGCGTCTGAATCTAGGCCGCCAGGAGCACAACATGAATCTGACAGTGATGGCAAGTTGATTTCGTTCTATATTTAAAATAGGAATCGAGGTTGATTTATACGAAAAATTAGACATGATAAATCTGAATTAGATCTTACAACGCAGGATGTCCAATGACTATATCCTAGTACATTCTCATCGGAGGATGAAGCATTCAAGTGACCAAAACCAAGGCCAGACAAGGAGTTACAAGGATGTGTTAAAATAGAAGTATCTTCAGAGGTGAAACCTGGGGGTGGGAGGCCAATTCCAATATTGGATCCGATCCCTGTACTCGCCAGAACGCCCTCTACGAAATCTGAATTATTGACAACGCAGGACGGATTGTTGGTAGACATGCGTTATAAATGAGGCGGTAGGGAGAAAAAAGAACTTCTAGAGCGTCGTGAATTTGTTGGAGAATATGTACAGGAACATACGACCTGGGCCGAGTCGCCGAACTTCTGGATAAGGGCTAACAAAAAAAGGTAGGGATATAGCGAATACGAACTAAGAGAAATAAAGATTGGAACTATTGTGGGGTATGGGAGAGGCAAGATGATGGAATGAAAGCGAAAGGAAGCCGAGAAAGGCGCATAAGATGCCGAGGTTTATAAAGTAGAAAGATGTACCGAGCAACCTAATGTTAAAGGCAATTACCAATAAATTACGGCAAAATTTGACACAAAGTGCAATAATAAAGGCTTACGGTTATATACAGTATTTACACCCAGCGTGACGCTCAGAGATTCCGCGGATTCAGACTGTCATGAAGGCAGGTTAATATAGACAAACCGCCTGAAAAACTTTAATGATAAGTATGCGGCTTGCAGAGCATTTATAATTAATTAATTAACCTAAAACTAAACAAGTTAATTTTTAATTATATTAAATGCATACCTTAAGCAACAAATTAATTATTAAAACTCCGTATTATTTATATATAAAATATTTCTTGATATAGTGTAAAAAGCTTGTCATTGCTCTGGCCAAAGCAAAAGCAATAATTCATATATTTTGGAAAATTTTGTGCAGCTAGTTGATTTTAAAAAATGATACCACTTATATTATTCCTACTTATTCATATAAAAATGAGTCACCCACTTTTTCACACCTGATTGGTTGCACGGATGGGGATCATTAGTATTGCCCTGATGTCTCTCTCTTCGCCGTATATGATATTTTTAAGCAATGGGTTTTATATGCATTCTCTTGTCCCATCTCTAGCTCAGCTAAGATAGCCTAGCTGTATGAAACTGTTGAATTTGTGTACTTAAGGTGAAAATTGGAATGGAACCCGAAGAGGAATGCTTCGTCTATCCTGCAATAACCAAGCCGTATTCACAACCGACAGCTCCCCCTCCTCCTCATAATGATCCTGACGAAGCATGTGTTTTGAAACTTATGCCACGTTCTCCTGAAAAGCCAAAACGTTCATCGTTGCGAAATCCTACTCTGGTGGACAACACATATGGAAAACGAGATGAATTATTGTCTCAGCGAAGCAATAAAGAACTAAATGGAACTAGAGCTGGACTAAACAGAACAACGAGTAATGTAACGTTTAATTCAGACGACGATGCATTTCTCCCATCTTCCAAATCACCTTTAAGGAAACTTGACCCACAAAGTGATTCTAAACTTCCTGAAAAAAAACTATCAATCCAAAACGTGAGGAAGTATTCCGTAGTTGATCCGAACGCTACTCGGTTTGTAGAAGGTAAGCCTTTCTTCGCTTGTCATAGGGAAGTAATAACCAATCATTTCTTAAAACAGTGAGCCTATCTTATTACATCATTATTGGTTCGCATTGGCATTTTATTAATATTGAAAGGCTTAATGTCAAACATGATGCCTAAACATGATAAATATTTTTCTATGAACAGGAGACTCTGTTTTAAAATCGTTGTTATTTTGCTAATCTATCGTTTCACGGTAATATATTTTAATGATATATGGGCGTTATATTCACAATTTTTGCAATATTTACTTGGTACCTATCACTCAGTATCATTGGCATCAATGT